GGGCGGCGCGGCGCGGCGCGGCGCGGGGCGGCCGTGCGGAGGGAAGGCCTTTTGGGCGCCGCGGGGCCCGTGCCGACCCGGCGGCGGGGGCGCTGGCTGTCGTCACTCGGGCGGCGGCAAGGTCGCGCTGGAGCCCGCCCCGGCAAACAAACGTAAATAATGTTGTGTCGGGAAAAGGAATTTATGTCATGCCCCGGTCTACAAATAATACAGAGTGCCGTGTGTGGCAACCGTGGCGGCCGCGCGCGGGACAGAGAGTGCCGGGGTGGTGTGCGCCAGGCCAGATGGTCCCACGCTGGACCTCAAGCAGGAGCGCGGCCGGGTTGCCTACTCGCACGCACTAGTAATTCCTTGCCAAGGATTCGGCTGCTTTGTGTAACCCCCCGATCCGAAGGAATTTCGCCGCAATTGCGAAGGATTTTCTTCGCATTACAGAGGAAATTCGTTCGCGATTGCCTCGCAATCGTTCGCAAGGATTCTGCGTATTGTGGGCCCATGAAGCAAGCCGTGGTCAGTGAGGAGGCGGTATCGTATACCTGACGGTACACTGCAAAAAATTATGACAGGAAAACTACAGATCGTCCTGCTAATTATTTTCCAGGATCTTCTGTTATTCGAATAACAGCATCGATGTAGTTTTAATGGTTAAAATTTGGTACAGGGAGCAATGTACAGGACCACTGTAAGGCAAAAGCGCGGACAAAACTGTCTACAGTGGAGCCGTATTCGTACACTGTACCGTGTAAATCCTGGGCTTTCCGGTGCTACAGCCTGTACCCTAGGTGCAGTGACTAAGAGCAGCATCTACAGTAACGCTGTAGATCGTTCTGTATCAGACTCTAATTTTTTGCAGTGTATGGTTTCCAGGCGGTATGGTACCTGGCGGTACGCTACCAGGCAGTATGGTACCAGGGCGATATGGTACCTGACGATATGGTTTCCAGGCGGTACCGCATGCTTACGGCGTGACCCCCCCTTTATTGGTGCCGATGCCGGAACATTCTTAGTCTGTCACTTGCTCCACGTGACATTGGTGTGCCATATCTGTTTTGTAACACGTTTGTAACACTTTGTTGCAGGCCGAGCGCGAGGTGACGGCGGTGCGTCGCGAGCTGGACGAGACGCGGGCGGCGCTGCGCCTGCAGACGGCGCGCTGCCGCCAGCTGGTGGCCGCGTACTCTGACAGGCTGCGCGCCGGCGACGCCCTGCGCGACCACCAGCTCACCCTGGTGCTGCGCGCCCTGGTGGCGCTCGAGGCGCGGCTGCGGCGCGAGCAGAAGGCCATCCGGGCGCAGCTGGCGCAGCGCGACGCCATCATCCACCAGCAGCAGGTGGAGATCAGCAGGCTCCGCGCCGCGCAGCCGCCCTCTGCGCAGCCGCAGCACCCGGCGCCCAGCGCCCCTCAGCACGCTCAGCACGCGCCCGCCTCCAGGTCAGCATGCCAGCCTGGTCTGGGCGGACACCGAGATGTCTGTCCCATGCCGAAATGCAGTAACGTTATCTGAAACAAATATTCAATTTTAACCTCAATGTAGCTCACGTTGGCGACTGAACGTTTCTCCAAACCGACGCGAGAGATTGTTTGGCGCGCGCGTGGCGTGGCGGGGCGGGCCACCGGGTCGACGCAGCTGCCGGGCGGGCCTGCCTACCCAGCGCGTTGCAGGCGCTCCCGGGTGTATCAGAGCGGACGCTGACCTGCAGAGATGCTGGTTTGCCTACTCCGCCCGTGAGGCGCCGTGGCCCTTGCGGTCCAAAGGGGTATACGATTCCGCATGGGCACTCTCACTCTGATACACCCGGTACTTGCTCATCAGTGGATGACACGTTGTGCGCTCAATTCTGCCATTCTGCCTCGCCCGAGCAGCGATTCTTCGTCGTGGCGTGAAGACCTTACTACTCTTACTCGATGATAACTAACTGAACCATCCCGTTCCCGTTGCCTCCAGGTCGGCGAGTTCCTCCAGCACGGTGACGCCGTCACAACTCATCGTGGAGAACCACACGTGCGGCCAGGACTCGAGCTGCGACCAGGAGCAGAGCCTGCACGGCCGGACGCACGAAACCGTCGTGGACGCCATGAGCCACCTCCGGCACCAGGAGGCGGCGCTGCGGGTCCTGGAGCTGGTGGGCCCGCCCCAGCGGCCGCCGGCCAGCACCACGCTACCGCTCCTCAACGGGGAGACGGCCTGCATCGTGGAGCCGCCCGCCGACTTCATCGAGGACCAGGGCGTGGTGACGCCGCCCCCGGACGTGGTGGCGAGCTACAACGAGATGAACCGCGAGTGCTTAGAGCTGGCCAGCATGGCGGCGTCCCTGCGCGGCGTCGGCGACAAGGGTAGCTGCTATCAGGTACGACCGCCCGGTGGGACCTCTGCTCTGGTTGTCAGTTGTGACTGAAACCTCTTGGCTGTTTTCCCAGGATCCCTGTGATGGGTCAGCAACCCCCTAACAAACGATGTGTTACCATGTTGCAGGACAACCCGGTGCTGGAGTGTGTCAACCTGATCCTGCTCCGCGACCAGGAGGACTTTCACGAGGAGCGACGGGGACGCGGCCAGCAGGCGCGCGCCCGGGGCGGCAGGGGCAGGCGCTCGGTGGAGGAGCACCAGCACCCCGACCCCCCGGCCTGGTACAACGGCGGGCCCCCGCGGCCCCCGCGGCCCACGCCCCCCGCACTGCCGCCCAAGCCACCCCGCCTTGTAGGCCAGCGCCCTGCCCCAACCAGGAACAGCAAGTCGCCGACCCCCGCCTCCACACCAACCTCTACGCCGACCACACCCACCACGCCGACCTCTACGCCGACCATGCCGGACAAGGTGTCCCCGCCACCCTCGCCTCCCGCTGCTGACGAGCGCGAGGACGGCAACGAGGCCCTGAGGCGGAACTTCGAGGAGTTCAACCTCGACGACTGTGACATCGATGGCCTTGGGCAAGCCGAGCCGGCCAGCCCCAAGGCCGTGACCGAGGCCGCGTCGGACTGTGACGGCGACGGCAGGCCGCGGGCCGAAGGGGACGGCGCGGAGAGCGGCAGGCTCAACGGCCTCCCCGCGGAGCGCGCGGAGCGCGCGGAGCAGGGCCTCCTCCTGACGGCCCCGGCCGAGGCCCCGGGCGGGGTCCCCCAGGCGCTCGGCCTCAGCCCCGCGTTGGCTGGCACCCTGGCGCAGCAGCTGGCGCAGCTGGCGCCTGCCAACTACGACTCGTTCCTGGAGGCGACCGGCCTGAGCAACAAGTCCATCCTCACGCCGAGCCGCATGCTGAGCAACCACCGGAGCGTGCTCAAGCCCAAGGACGTCAAGCACCGCAGCCGAGTGAAGGCCGGCGAGCGCTGCGCCCTGCCCTCCGGGATGCCCGGCCCCACCGTCAAGTACTGGACCGAGCCCTTCCTCTAACCGCACCGAGCTAATCTAGAAACTAATCATGTATTCTAACCGAAAGGCCTTTATTGTTGTTTTTGACTCGTGTTTACCAGAACGTATTGAACATAGAAGTGTTGTTGCTGGAATTGAGAAATGAATTACCAATCTTCTTTACCTTATTTCTTTATGTGAGAGGATCCAAGCTGCGCCAACCCATAGAAATGCACACAGACTAAAGTCTTACATTTTTGGCGCAATTAACGGGCACCATTCTCATGAAGTGCATCAAAAATGTTGGACCTTCCTTTCGTGCGTATCATGTGATTTGGCGCTACTAGTGATGGGAGTATAGAAAACTAGTGCTTGTTATGAGTATTGGAAAGTTCCAATGGATGACATACCATGTACTTCAGTCATGTCTACTAGAACTAAAATCTAAGGGTATACTGTATTAAACTTTTAAATGTTGCTGTTTTTTAAATGCTCATTTAATTTGTGTATTTCTTGCATTACTATACACACATTACATATTAACAATGAAAATTTACAAACAAAAACAAAGGATCTCTGTCGTAATGAATTGAGGCTTTTGTAATTTGTTGGATATGTTCTAATGACTTTTAAAGGTGGCTGATCTCTAACTAGAACATATCCAACAAATGACAATTGCAGCCAGTCGAGCCAGTCGAATCTTCTAAACCCTGCATGAACACAAAAAAGTTGTATAGTACTTGACAGCCATCAGCCATATGAGAAAATAAAATAATATTACAATACTACATCACATTAAGAAAAACATAGAACTCTCAATGATATAAGTAAGTAAGTATGTCCATAAAATAATTAAACAAGATCAAAGCCTCTCTTACGAGAACTACCTGATTTAAAAGGGACGGATCTCTGCTAAAAGAAATGACAAATTTTTAGAATAATAGCTAAATAATATAAAAGAATAATCGAGTAAAGCTATGGTGCTCAACTATTGTGGTCAACACATATTCGGGGCTATTTCCTGTACAATCCAAAGCAAGGTACACTGAATAAATGCATATGGAGATACAACTAATGTAGTAGAGAGGAGAGGAAGAAAGAACCACACTCATACTGGTAATGAGATCACACAAAACGTAGTACAACAAAAACCTTGATTTGGAATGCAACACAAAACAATTTTAGATCAACAACTCAATCAAAAATTAACAAACAATATAAAATCTACAGCGAAAAATTTAACAATCTTAGATTTACTTATTGTTTAGAAAAAATGACAATCTTACATTTCAAAATCAACAATCATTTCAAACTCAAATAATTAAAAATCTTGTGAAGACTTAGTGTAAAAGATACAGAGAATAGTAGATGAATTATCACAATAAGGTCACTTTATGGCAAGGATTTAGGCAGCGGTTACTATGGATCTCTTTACTCATAAGATCACAAAAAACTGACAACAATTGGACAACAGAAAATAATTATTCTCCTTAGATTGTATTCAAGCTCTGAAATGGGATTGAATATAAGAACTAAGAGCTAAGAGGACAGTGTGATAAAATTTTAATTACATCAGCTTGGTTTAAAACACTAAATACACAGTTAGCCTGGTGTAAGGGCGCTAATTATGTTATTTAAGGTGCTACTACTACGATACGCTATAATACCACCTCGATTACAGTACTGAGCCATTAGATCAGGGACACCCTCATCGAAATCAGGTGTAGAGTATGTCACACCATCATTTGTGTCTCCTAAACTCTTACGAATCAAAATATCACCACCCTGTGCCCTCAAAATAGCATGAGGGGCACATGTATCCCATTTGTATGTTGAGTCCCGTGTCAAAATATATGCCTGTGCTATTCCCAAAATAACACACAGTAGCTTATAACCAGCGCCAGCTGCTTGACAAAGTCTATATCCAGCCTCTTCTAAACTGGCCTTGACCTCTGGGCTTTCACTTCCACTGATAGCAACAATCTAATAAAGAAAATCACAGCATTAATTTTATTTTTCTTCCAAAGAAGAGGAAATATTTCAGGATATAAACTTACTGTGGATCTAGAGGCACAATCACAAATGGGTGAGGAAAAGGCTCTTGTATTGCCCCACTTCACTCCCCAACAGACTCTTCCCATGTACCTGCAAAGTAAAAACATGGTTCTGAGCATCAAAATTACCCAGATGATCAAAACTTGAGGTTTTGGTCTCACACATTTGGAGACTAAAATGCAAACAACAATGGATTTTTTTATTTTGATTTTTTAATTTACTTAGAGCAGGCAAGAGGGTAAAAGGGCTTACCCATGTTGATCTTTCAAATAGAAAGGCTGGTTTATAACTCCCATCAAAGGAATGCCAGAGTTTCGATCATAAGCACCAATCAATACAGTCACACAATGGAGACCACTTTTCACCATAGATTCTGGATTGACTGGAGGACCTCCTGCAGGATCTCCAGCAATATACTCGGCTGTTGAGTCTAGAAGATAGAAGAAACAACCAACATACAGGAACCTGAAAAACTATGCAGCACATAAAAGGTTTGGAGAAATACTAACTGTTAAAAATTGTTACAAATGGAAAATTGCAACTTTAACTGTATGTTTCATAGTTTAGAACTAGGACAGTGCATAACAAATAATAAAGAAGCATTTTATTGTTTAGAAGGAATTTTAAAATGACAGCATCAAAGTAGCTCACCAATTGGATCAATCCAAACCCCAAGATCTTTAATCGGCAAAACTAGATGACAGGGCAATGGCACAGAGCCAAAATTCACATCATCCAAGTGCACCTCCTGATGAACTTCCTCAGCCAGCTTCTCTGCTGCGGCCTCATCTCCATCTAGAACCTAAGAGGGAAAAGACCAGTTAAACTTGTTCACAATGTTGAGAATGCTATTGCAAGGCAAAGTGTTCACTACTTAATCCAAACCTTGCACAACATCTTGGCAGTTTCTTCTTGAGTTTCTTTCACTTCAACTGTAACAGTTTCTCCATGAATGTTGCTGAATTTGGCACTCTCTTCTCCTTTTATGTGGGGTGTTAACTCTGGAAACTAAGCAGGAATGCAAATACAGAATTATGTAGTGACCAGCTGTTGCAATACATATGATTATTCGCCAAACAGACAAGGGATGGATAAACCAATTCTGTAATTCATTGAGAAAAGGCAACAATGACATGCCATGTTTTACAAACCTTCAAGCCGATATAATGTCTTACTGTTTCTTGAATAAGTACATCAGCCAATGTTTTAAAATCTTGAACAAAACGAGGATTTGCTTCGTCACTACCTTTCTGTTGTGTCAACAGTTTAATAAGATGGTCGTCTTTCCTTATACGTCGAGCTATGTTGCCAGCTCGTTCTGAGAGAGATATTATTAACTTAAGCAATTCAGCACCTCGAGCTCCACTGTCCTGCTCATCTTCCATGGCCTGGAACAAAGTAAACAAATAACTTGTTAATAATCAGAAAATGAAGACTGACAATGTCTAGACAGTAGATTCTAACCTGTAATGCATATACTTCAAAAGTTTTGTTTAAAATTTAATTACATGGCATAGGTTTTATGTGCGCGGAAGACAGTGTTAGATGAATAAATGTCATTGTTTTGATAGTACACTTCAACAACAAATAGTCAGTGCAGTGGGTAATGGTAGTGCACCACCACACCAAAACTACTACAGACCTAGCCTGCGCTGAGGGTCCCTCGCTTATGGGTGAAAGAATCCAGAGAAAGATGTGGGTGCAGAGATGTGGTCGGAAAACTCTGCAATGCAGTACTGATGCTCGGGCTGTCGTCTGGCTTGCTGCTGCAGCAGACTGCACTTTAGGGTCTTCTTGAGAGATCGTCTGCTAGAGGCGAGGCGAGCGTCATGTCCGCCTCCCGGGCGAAATAGAGAACAACAAAGAGACGTCATCCGGTCACATGTCAGGGGCGCGAAGGGGCGAAAGCGAAAAGCAGGGCTTGCACAGGGTTTCATCTTTTCATGTTCAGTAGGTTTGCCTTTTACAGAAATGTATATATTTAGTTTTTCTACAGACTTTGACATTCTTTTCCGACCACCCCAAACCCTTCTATTGAGTTTGGTTTCCTCCTAAGATTTCCCATTGTGTGAATTTTGTTCAAATATTATTGCATGCCTTGCAACAAATTGGGGAAGCCCCAAGCCGAAGCACCCCATTTTAAGGCGAACAAAAGAAATTGAACATCAGATGTGTAATAGTTCCTTTTCTTTTAATTTGTCTAACAAGAGCACTTTTTAAAATTTATAATTCATTTTTTTTGTTTATGATTTTCCTTTGTGCGAAGCCGTATGTCCTGTATAGATAGGTTTGACTCAACCATAGAAACGAATGAAGTATTGTGTTTAAAATTACACATTACATGGCATATGAAAAGGGGGGCGCCCCGATTAGCCGAAGCTCGTTTGTCCGAACCTAATTTATCTATTTTGGTAAATAAAACGAGTAAAGTAGTTAATTACATTATGTTATTTCATTTAGTGGCAGTTGTTGAAATAAGAGCTAAATCAGGTACAGATACCATCAGGAGGGCAATTGACGTGCCTAACTGCAGCTCCGGGCCTGGAAAAGGGTAAATGAAATAACTTACGCTATTTCACTAACATATGTAAATAATCTTATTTTTGAACAAGTCTTGTTTCGCGCCACGCTGTGGATCGGCTGTAGTGTGCCACGGCTCTCGGATCTGCGATGGGTGGGTCACTTTCCTAAGTGCCGGGCGCGGTATGGGGGGGGGGGGGATTGCCAAGTTCAGCGTCTCATAGCGCCTGATAGGTAGGCAACATCTTGCTTGTAGAGCTTGCGTGTATTGCGGGATGGCCTACCCGGAGTCTCGCAGGCGCCGAACCTCCCTAATTTTTCGACAAAAAGACAAAAGTCCGCTCGGCACCGCAAATGCTCACGTCCATCTCCTAATCTCCCTCCCCCCAGTAAAATGGGGGAATTTACCCCTCATACAGAACAACTTGTAAGCCCAGGGCATCTGTCAGTAACGGGGGGCGATCGATTGTGGGCGAGAGCGGGGTCCGCAAGCAGGACGCAGCGGTCGATTGCAGGGGGTCTGTCAAAATAAGATGCGGTTTGGCCGACCGACCGACCGTCAACCTCGGAACGACCAGGATGACTGAAACATCGTGTTCAGGGGTTTTCTCGCACGCTGAGTCCAAATCTGGTAGTGCCGATGTCGTCCGGGCCCCCCGGGGACGTCATTGGGGACCTCCCGAGCACGCCGATGACACTCCCACGACAAATACGATTCGGCTCAAAACGTCGTGTACCCCGGCTGGTGCATATTTCTTAAAAGTCACCAAATATAATTATTATTAATAGCAAATCGCCCATAATAGTTTATTATCCAGATCAATTCACTATTATTGTCACATGGCACTTCCCTGGCGTTGCCGCCTGGAGCCACACAACGATGCACGGGACGGGAAGCATCCCCAAAGGATCACATCCTGGACAAGTGAGGCGGGATTGCCTACCCCAGGAAAGAATCACATTCCGCGACCACGATATGTCGGTGAGTATGCCGTAATTATTGCTCTCCCCCTTTGCCGTGCCGCGTCCCCTACCCCTCTCCTCCTCCCCACCCCCACCGCGCATTTCCCGCGCCTTTATGGAAACGTAAACAAACAGTGAAACTCGGTGTCACGCGATCGGCGTTTCTGGCAAATACCGATAATAACTACTCATATAATTAATGATCATAGGATTTTAACCAGAATTGTAGAGTGGACATCGCCGCTTTTCGTTATTAATCGCAAGGTATAGTGCTTGCTTGTTTCCGGTCCGGAATATTGAATTGTTCCATTCCGGTTATTGTTGTAGGAGGTTATGCTCCTGTGGCTCAATTTTGACACGCACAATTAAGTTGTAAGTTATTTTTTGAGGCCGAGTAAATGATGCCCGTGATGTAAATAACTTGGCTCACTGTCAGCTTTGTTGAAAAGGTGTTGAATGATGTTAGACTCCTCCAATCCATGCAGTATGTTAAATGCTGTTGTAGGTCCTTATGCAAATGGGCGAACCTGCCAGTGTTTTATCACATATCATATATTTTACTCTATTTTATTCTCGTGGAACAGAAATCTTTATTACTTTCTGATTGGGGTGCAAACCGAGTGGTACTATTTGCGTAATCCCCTAAACAATCAATCAATAATGTGCGTTGCAGATAATCTGCAGCTGCCCCTTCGTACTTAACGTTTAATCCAGTACCAAAATTAGTTATTTGAAAGACCATAGTCATTTAGAGACGCATGGGGGGAGAGGCATTTAAAAGTGTTCTGTATGAGTTAATTATATGTAATTAAAAGTTGATGAGCGCTAAAAGTACTGTTTAATATGATTGCAGGAACTCTGCCCAGAAATGTTCTTGACATGAGCAAGAGAACTCTATGGAGTCATTTTACCCAAAAGAATAGGTGAGTTGACATGACAGTAACCGCCAACGCTGGTCCAATTTGTCTCCACTAAGAGGAGCTTCCTTTCGTGTGCATCAAAGGGTGGTATTTGATGTTTTTTGTGGTGCCTTGCCTTGGTTCTTTGTTGTCGATTTGAACCCTCTTCTGTCAAAATCCAGGCTGATTTGTTATCACTGAAAATGTCTTTTAAAAATCTTGCCAATTTGGGAAATTGCTGGAATTGGTTTGGATTGGTGGGGCAGACTCCCTTCACATGCTCTGTCTAAATATCATGGTGCCGACCCACTACAGCAGAGATCTTAGCCAGTGTGCCTTAGGTAGCCTACCCGCCCTTAGTTAGAGAGACCAGCTCTTATAAAACTCAAGTTGCTGTGGACAGGGGTGGTTTCCGACAGAAGCAAAGGTAATTTTGTGGTCCCTGGTTCACCCCTATCTATTCATGTACTCCTCCGTCAAAAACCAGACCCATACCTTTGTAAATTTTGCCAAAAATGAAAATAATTAAAAATCGCCGGAAATGTCGAAATGTCGAAATTTCGCGCCTCCGGTCCATTTCAAGTGAGTTGCGCCTGTTTTTCTTGCGAGGTAGGCAGCCCATCGTACGCTACCCGCCAGATTCAAAAGACCTCCTCTTAAAACTTAAGTGTGTCTGGACAGGGATGGTTTCTGGCGAAACCAAAAGTAGTTTTGTGGTTCCCTGGTTCACCCCTGTCCTTTGGACTACTTTTCCAACGAAATCCGTACCCACCCTTTTTTGCTAAAAATGGGCAGGCTATAGCCTTTGTAAATTTGGCCAAAAACGAGAAATTTGAAAATCGCTGGAAATGGTTGGGATTGGTTTGACAGCACCTTCTTACTAACTTTCCGTCGAAATTTCATTTCTCAGACCCATTTTAAGCGAGTTACGCCCGTTTTTCTTGTACCGGCTCGGCTGCTAGGTAGGCAGCCCGTTGTACGCTGCCCGCCAGATTCAAAAGACAATCCCTTAAAACTCAAGTGTCTCTGGACAGGGGTGGTTTCTGGCGGAACCAAAATTAGTTTTGTGGTCCCCTGGTTCACCCCTGACCGTTCGACTACTTTTCCGTCGAAAACCCGGCCTTTGTAAATTTGGCCAAAAATTAAAAAAAAAAAAAAAATCGCTGGAAATGATTGGAATTGGTCTAGGAGAGTCGCCTTTGACCTCCTCTGTCGAAATTGCGTGCTTCCTGCCTCTTTTACATCCTGTTTCTTCGACTATAAAATTGCGTCTTTGGTTTGTTGCAGGAAGATCGGCCTGGAGGTGCACCTGACTTGGACATCAGCAAAGCAGTCTATGTGTCACCTGCTGTATGCTGAGTTGGCGTCGCAGCACGCAGCAGGAGGAATCGCACCTTTTTCTCATGATCGCAGGAATGAATCTGGTAAGTTTTGACCTTCAATGTGATGTTGACATAAAATACCAGTACATTTATGGTTGTCATGTCTGGTAAAAGTTGATTTTGGTATTGTTTCTATTTGGGGGTTACTTGTCATTTCTTTACTGCTTATTCTTATTCCATGGCTTATTACTTGAGCCTAAAATATATGGTCGGGTTTTAATTTTAGTGCGGAACTGGAGGCAAATCATTAGGAATCACGAATCACTGACAGTAATGCTGCTATTTATTTCATTTGTATGGTACAGTCGAAGTAAAATAAGAAGTGATGCTGGTTCTTGTCCAAAGGGATGTGCCTGGACTTGAAGCTGGCCACCTGTAACATAGAAAGTTCATTTGATGAGTTGGCGTCACAGTGATACAGAGGGACCAAAACACGTTTGTGTTGAACTCTGAGATAATTTGAATTTACTTATATTTTTTTCATTCTTTTTCAGGTATTCAGATTCGTCCCAAGTCACCAGCAGAAACAAGCCGGCTACTTGAGGAAGACTTAAGCTTATAATGTTAGAAACAATAAAGAATTAAAATACTATCCAACATTTTACATGATTTCATTGACCTGATTCTACGCTGCAGTAACTGTGGATGTAGTAGCAGACTGCCACCACTACCGCAGTGACGTCACAGGCTTCTCGGATGCAACTCTAGTTAGCTGTGGAGGCGGTA